GACCAGACACTAAACAAACCTGGCTCGGGCCACGGCCGTTCAGCCCGGGCTGTTCATTTGAATGGAACAGGGGATTAGGGTCCGGTTCGGGCCGCCCACCGCAACAACATAAAACCAGCAATACCCTGCTGGTGTGTGGCTGGATGTTGGTTTTGGCTTCTTTGCTGGTATGAGTAATGTGAAACATGCACTTCAATGGGCATACTATAATGTGAGACGTGAAGTAGTCACGGCAGCGTGGCCGTCCGCGCACCTGTCCGGAACCTGTCCTTGTGCTGCTCCAACGTGTCGGCGGTCTCGAGGAGAGGTCACAGTAGGCCTCCCAGACTGGCGGCAGGCGTCGTAGGTCCTCCAGCACTGCCTCATCTACGGCTACCTCGTACTTGTCTGCAGCATATCACAACATCCAGTCATCAGCCATCATTGCCGTGATTCAAATGCTACTGTAACGCAACTAATTAGATTAATCAACACCTTTTGAGTGGACGAATTTGTAAAGATAATACATTTGCTGATGTATAGTGTTTATCAGATGAACAATGCGATTTATCAGCAATACGACCGTGCCATGTCGCCATTCACACTGGTCACAATAAAGCAAAATATCAAAAGAAAATTGCTACCTACGCTTCGAACCCCGATTGGTATGTATATCGCAAGACTTGGTTCCGTTAATAATATTGGATTGCTTTTGTAAAGTCATACGTTTACGTGCTCAACGTTATGACAACAAATGTGCATTTGCCGGTGTAATTACATACAGCACGACATCAAGTTGGTGATGTTGTGAGCATGGCGAGTATTCCTGAAGTTAGTTTCGTGATATCGCGTTAATAGCTCCGATTATACAATAATCAGATTATACTCGGTTTTCGGAAAAGTATAAAAAGGAAGTGACATCTATAAGGAAACGATGCTTTTAGTCGTCGCAAAAGCAGCCCTTAACATCATGGATGATCCTCGACAGCCCGACGGGGCTGGGCGCGCGTACCAAGAACAACAAACTGTTCCTCCGTGGTGGGGAACGTTTCTTCTCAGTTCTGGCCGCTCGTGCAGCAGTCGCTCGTGCAGGTTGATACTCTCCTGCAGCTCCACTAGGCTCTGCGGTACGTACTTCATCCTGGCCGAAAGAGCGAGGGATGTCAGCGTCGCCCAGGGACCGGGGGCGTCACGGACGCGCCCTCAGGACTCACTACAGCTGCCGTCCCTGTCATCTCAACATCCGTGTCACGGCGCGCCCTCAGGACTCACTACAGCCAGAGCCGTCCTCATCTCAACAGTCCGTGTCACGGCGCCCCCTCAGGACTCACTACAGCTAGAGCCGTCCTGTCATCTCAACAATCCGTGTCACGGACGCGGCCTCAGGACTTACTACAGCTAGAGCCGTCCCTGTCATCTCAACAGTCCGTGTCACGGCGCGCCCTCAGGACCACTACAGCCAGAGCCGTCCCGTCATCTCAACAGTCCGTGTCACGGACGCGCCTCAGGACTCACTACAGCCAGAGCCGTCCCGGTCATCTCAACAGTCCGTGTCACGGACGCGCCTCAGGACTCACTACAGCAGCCAGCCGTCCCGGTCATCTCAACAGTCCGTGTCACGGACGCGCCTCAGGACTCACTACAGCCATAGCCGTCCCGTCATCTCAACAGTCCGTGTCACGACGCGGCCTCAGGACTCACTACAGCCAGCCGTCCCTGTCATCTCAACAGTCCGTGTCACGACGCGGCCTCAGGACTCACTACAGCCAGAGCCGTCCCGGTCATCTCAACAATCCGTTGACATATGCATACCCGCCTTTACTCAACAGCATTGCCGATGACGTACTGATGCGCCTGTCCTCAC